GTTACTAAAAATTATACAACGCACACACACACTAATATATATATTTATATATTTATTATACATCTAAATCTAAAAAAAATATATATATATTTTATTTTAATTTAATTTCTTTTATTTTTCATTTATTTATTTATTTGCTGTTTCAAACCTGATGTCTTTCTTCTGTGGAACACAAAAGAAAACATTTTGAAGAAGTGCTTTTGTGTCCATTTTAAATCTTGTATGAAAAAGACCAATTCTTCAGCACAATTCATCACAATTCGTCATGTTTCCTTTTGTGTTCTGAAGAATAAATATAGTCATAGCAGTTCAAATTAACACGAGAGTGAGTAAATTATCCCAAAATGTTATTTTTTTGCCTGAACCAACTGTTTAAGACTAACCAGCAGTCTTTGCACACCGGATAGCAGCTGTTTAGGTTTTGACGTCCTCCTATAAGTGTCCACACAGAGTTCAGGAAGCCTCCACTTGTCTTTGGCCTCATTAAAGGGCAGAGTTGTTTTTCTGTGGCAGAGGGCAAAGAAAAGAAGCTGTAAATGCAAGCTGTACAGATGTTTTAACGTTCTGCAACATCAACAGTTAGGCAGACTAAATCACACATCTGCAATGCATTTGAGCTGGATCTCTACAGTCCAGACAACCCTTCATCATCCTCCACTTCGCACCTGCAGAGGAGACTCACGCATATGTGCACGGCCCTCTGTGGGTGCGTGATAGAAATGGTAACATACAGTAAGTGTTGCTTATTCGGTGACAGATTTCTTTTGATGCTTAATTGGAAACTACGGGCTTGATTTCAACAAAATAGTCCAGCACTGCGTTGTGCAATAGGCCTATTCATGTTCCCACAATAAGGGTGATCAGACTGAGGCCGATCACACAGCAGAGCTCCAGCCACATATGAAAGTGCTTAGAGTCAGTTATCTGAACAGCCACATGGAATCAGAACTCCATAGAAAGTTCCACAGATTTCCAAAGCTTTGGAATTCCTGACAAAGTTCTTGCACATATAAAACCCATATCTTCTTGTGTGTTTGTTTATTAGAGGTTTTGGCTAATTTTATCATGATTTCAGCTAACAACAAAAAAAAAGTCTAGTCCTCTCAGCTTTGCATTTAAATTAGGGGTGCTCCGATTGATCGGCTACATTGAACGATAATCGTTTTGGGAAGTTCGATCGGCAGTCTCTATCGAGGCAGTGTCGCATCGTCACTAAAGTTTATCATTTGCATTTCTTTTTAAGTCTTGCCAGTGTTTAAACCATTCAGCACTCGCGCGTTCTCCTAGAGACGGTGCGCTCATGCATACTCAAAGCACACACACATAAGGCCGCCTCACATACAGCTCACAAAATCAGGCTTGTGCTGTGTGTAAGCCATTGTGCAACAATTGCCCCATTGTAAAAACAAAAATGCACTGCATAACCAAACATTTCATATTTTTGAAAAATGTAAAAAAAAAAACTCCACCCATCAAATAAAAAAAAATACTCCCCACAATAGTCACCTAAGAGGGGAATTCCCCCATTTTCAAAAATGAAAATGAAATTCAGGTCCTGAATGAATGTCTGTAAAAATCCTGATTGGACCATCACTATAAATAATTCTACATGATAAAAAGAAGTCTTCAAAAAGATCGGTATCGGTGATCGTATCGGCAGATACTGCTTCCTGTGATCAACGATCGGTGATCGGCTCCAAAAGTCCTGATCGGAGCACCCTTAATTTAAATATCCCATGAAATGGCTTGACATTTGACAAGCACAGTTTTCTTTCCCATGTTAATGGAATTTTCAAAAATGTACTTACGAGTCAGGCCATCCAAGATGTAGATGAGTTTGTTTCTTCATCTGAACAGATTTGGAGAAATGTAGCATTACATCACTTGCTCACCAATGGATCCTCTGCAGTGAATGGGTGCCGTCAGAATGAGAGTCTAAACAGCTGATAAAAACATAACAATAATCCACAAGTAATCCACACAGTTCATCAGTTGACATCTTGTGACGTGAAAAGCTGTGTGTTTGTCAGAAACATTTTTGGGTGAAATATTCTTTTAACCAAGTAGGTCTATAATTCATAGGTCAAGTAGGTCCTATAACGGTTATAGGACCTACTTGACCTATGAATTATAGACCTACTTGGCATTTGGAAGTATGCAACCTGCAGATCCCATTTGCTAAATCTACTATGATATAACAACATATTTGCATTTATATAAGAGTTATGAATATCATATATCACTATATATGCTGCCTACAAAATTATTTAATCATTATAAGTTTACTTCTGAATACTTCATCTGTCAATGGAAATAAAGTTTTTTTTTTGTTTTTGTTTTTTTTGACCCCAAACGGTGTAGTTCTAGCATCTTCCACCTGAGGCTAATTGGTGTTGATGTATTTCCTATAAAAAAATAACAAGTCTGAGTGAGACATATCAAAAGCTTGTCATTTAAAAAAATAGCTAATGGCCACAGCAACGAACCACGATTTGCTACTTGATCGTATGTACTACTATAATATAATATAATATAATATAATATAATATACAGTGCATACGACGAAGTAGCGAATCATGATACAAAAAATGGTCTCAGCTTTTTAGTATCCTAGCTACATCCTACCTTTCAAATGAGGTAAATGTTCTCTATATAAAAGTTTCTTTAAAAATCCAAATACGAACAATGTGTGAACTTAGTGTTCATGACACAAAATAAAAGCACGTTAAGTATTAAAAACATATAAAACTCACCAATCTGTGTCTGTTTTTGTTGTTGAACGCACAGCAGGTGAAATAAGTAAAGAGGACCTTCAGGATGGCGGCTGACTTTGCCTTTTGCCTGATTTTTTTAGGAGGAAAAAAAATCGGAAATATCTGGCTGTGCTGACCAAAAGTAAGAACTATTTAAAAGAGGTATCATTTTAAAATGAACCTCTTCCTTCTGCCAGGACATAGCAATATTTTTTCTTTTAAAGGGGTCATATGATGCGATTTCAATTTTTCCTTTCTCTTTGAAGTGTTACAAGCTCTTGGTGCATAAAGAAGATCTGTAAAGTTGCAAAGACTAATCGTATGTACTACTATAATATAATATAATATAATATAATATAATATAATATACAGTGCATACGACGAAGTAGCGAATCATGATACAAAAAATGGTCTCAGCTTTTTAGTATCCTAGCTACATCCTACCTTTCAAATGAGGTAAATGTTCTCTATATAAAAGTTTCTTTAAAAATCCAAATACGAACAATGTGTGAACTTAGTGTTCATGACACAAAATAAAAGCACGTTAAGTATTAAAAACATATAAAACTCACCAATCTGTGTTTGTTTTTGTTGTTGAACGCACAGCAGGTGAAATAAGTAAAGAGGACCTTCAGGATGGCGGCTGACTTTGCCTTTTGCCTGATTTTTTTAGGAGGAAAAAAAATCGGAAATATCTGGCTGTGCTGACCAAAAGTAAGAACTATTTAAAAGAGGTATCATTTTAAAATGAACCTCTTCCTTCTGCCAGGACATAGCAATATTTTTTCTTTTAAAGGGGTCATATGATGCGATTTCAATTTTTCCTTTCTCTTTGAAGTGTTACAAGCTCTTGGTGCATAAAGAAGATCTGTAAAGTTAGACGAAGCGGAGTCCAGCCCGGGGTCATCACATGTGGTTGAGGCAAGCCCGCCGGCCGCTCTTTCGTCGAATCCGCCGGCCGTGCCTTTCTCAAGCCCACCTACCGTTCCTCACTCTAGCCCGCCCGCCGCCACTCACTCTAGCCCGCCGTGTGTGACGCTGTGTGTTTCGTTGTGAAAGCGAAACTACTTTGTTTGGCCTTCCAAAAGAGAACGACTAGAAATCAGTGGTTAAGTTGTATTTACAACACTGTTCCAGAACACTTCAACCCAAATATGGAAAATAATGTGTTTTTTGAACCTTAAACCGCATAAACACATTTCATTACACCAAATACACAAAATAATGTTCTTTTTAGCAACATCATATGACCCCTTTAAAATACATACCTATATGTTTCTGCTTTTTTATGAATTAGTAGGAGTTATAGTCTAAAGACAGATCACATTCTTGTGATCATCTCAAAGTGAAAATGTTGATAATTTCACAACTAATTGCAAGTCAGAGTGTTTGCAAGTCATGTTTTGTGCCATCAACTTTATATTATATAGAGGGGATACTGATTCCCAAAATGTGTTAAAATATAAAATAAGGGTTTCCTTCCCTGTAAAACCCCAAATTATGTATTAAGCATAACTGTTGCCTTGTTTGGGAAGGGATATTGCTAAGTGACTCTTGGCTTTGCTATACCCATTTCATTCCCTTTGCGTGCAAAACTTAATTAGCATTGGAATATCTTTTTCCCTGTTAACGTACTAAAGAAACAGAACCCAAAGAAAACCTCATATCAAGGAGCAGTTTAAAGGTGCACTCTGTATTTTTTCCTCATTAAAATGTTTTACGCATAAATAATAATACTGACAAATATTATTATAATAAAGATCACTCATATGATATATGACTCCAGATGTATCAGAGGGCATAATAATAATAATAATAATAATAATTCTGTTTTAAAGAATGACACATTGGAATGAAAGGGTTTATTTGTCAATCAATTTGGTTTAATGTAGAATAAAAATCTTTATTGAGTTAGTATGGCAGTAATTAATTCCTGCATTGACAAAAACATAGATTAAATGGAAAAATTATCATTAAATATGAATGACTATGACCTTGAAATATTATCAGCATGTAATTGCGGCTTGGCCTGCACTGCACACCTCAAATTTGAAACATTTGCCAGATTTTTCACACACATTTCAACATGTGTTTCTGATCACCGTTCATATTCATGAACACAGACCCTACGGTGTGACAGGAAATGTCTAAAAAGGGAAAAAGAGACCCAAAAGGACAGTTTCTGTTGTCAGCAGTTCTTTATGCTGTGAGTTATGGAGGTCAGTAAGTCTTTGATACTTTCGCAGCGTTCAGGAGTGCAAGGAGGCCCTGTCAAGGGTCCGGGGACAGTTCTCATTGTCAGCGGTTCTGGATAGCATTGCCCACATCAAATAAGGTTAGATCAATTTTAAGAGTTGTTCTGCTCAGCAGTGTTTTCTAATTTTTGTTCTTGCTGAGCAAATCATATTTTTATTGGTACTCTTTTGAGCACCAGACTTAAGCAGTGTGTGCTGTGCCAACTAAAGACTTTTGGAGAGTTTTGTAGCAATAACTTTTGTTACATGTCTATACTTTACACTTTACTGTCAATTATAAGTTATTGCTACATATTCTTATATTTAATATAATTTAATATAATAATATTAAAATATAATAATATATTTTATTTATTCATTATTTACTATTTATATTAGAATTATACATATATATATATATATATATATATATACAGGGTTTGAAATAATACATTTTTACTGCATCTCTGGAGCTCAGCCACAGTGATCTTTGGGTTCTTCTTTACCTCTCTCACCAAGGTTCTTCTCCCCCGATAGCTCAGTTTGGCCGGATGGCCAGCTCTAGGAAGGGTTCTGGTTGTCCCAAACGTCTTCCATTTAAGGATTATGGAGGCCACTGTGCTCTTAGGAACCTTAAGTGCAGCAGAATTTTTTTTGTAACCTTGGCCAGATCTGTGCCTTGCCACAATTCTGTCTGTGAGCTCTTCAGGCAGTTCCTTTGACCTCATGATTCTCATTTGCTCTGACATGCATTGTGAGCTGTAAGGTCTTATATAGACAGGTGTGTGGCTTTCCTAATCAGGTCCAATCAGTATAATCAAACACAGTTGGACTCAAATGAAGGTGTAGAACCATCTCAAGGATGATCAGAAGAAATGGACAGCACCTGAGTTAAATATATGAGTGTCACAGCAAAGGGTCTGAATACTTAGGACCATGTGATATTTCAGTTTTTCTTTTTTAGTAAATCTGCAAAAATGTCAACAATTCTGTGTTTTTCTGTCAATATCGGGTGCTGTGTGTACATTAATGAGGAAAAAAAATTAACTTAAATGATTTTAGCAAATGGCTGCAATATAACAAAAAGTGAAAAATTTAAGGGGGTCTGAATACTTTCCGTACCCACTGTATATATATATATATATATATATATAATATTTACTGTATGTATTTCTTTCATGTTTGTATAGTATTTTATTTTAATAACAATATTTTGGGGGGAATATGGCCAACATGTACATGAAAGCAAATGGTTGTTGCTACACAAGTTTGATTTTGACCAAGTTTATTTTTGTTTCGCTTTATTTTTAATGGCTCAAATATTTGAAGGTAGCTCTATCGCCCCCTTGAGTAACAATATATTAAAGCCATAAGTATACATGACATGATTTACACAAATGAAGATGTGAATACTTGGTCCCTTGAATGCACACTAAGAATGTGCACTTACGTTTTGTTGTGTATTGCTTACATCGAACCCATGAAATTAGCTAGCGTTTGCTTTCACATGCTTGAATAGTGCCGTGACAGGCCTTAAGCGATGCATGTTTCCACATAAGACTTCTCACAGCTTCAGTTACATACTGAGATTGAATGAAAATGCAACTCTATGGAATTTAAACTCCATCCATCCATTTAGAACTAGATTTTCTGCATAGTTTTTGTCTCCTTGCTGTGCAGGTTTTCTTTTTGGTCGGCTTGGAAGCAACATCAAACATCAATTTAGAGGAAACATTTCTGCTCAGCATCATAAAATGAATACATCAGTGCATCGCCTGCCATTCTTTCCCTTCTCATGCATAATGGATGTCAAACCAACCCGGTGATGGTGCGTAAGCTGATTTTATATGGAGAAACTGTAGTTAGGCCTCACTGAAGTGCTCCTCTGGTAGTCATTACAGGTCTGTTTTGTGAAGTCAGTGATATGTTTTGGGGAGGCCAGCCATTGGTTTGACGCAGGGCCAGATGCTGAATGAGCAGAGACGTGCCCCCTCCACTGCTCCTCCGGCAGCTCTAGAGAAACGGAAACAGGAGATTTACATTGCCGCTATGTTGTTTGATGGCTCCCACATGTCGCATAATTTCAACAGGTTAAAATATGAGGGCTGCAGGACAGACTGATTGTGAGGGCATTTATTAGCCCCGGTTATGGTGGCTCTTACCATAAGATCCTCAGGCCAAGACAGGCTGGTCGATTTATGTCGCAATAAATAATCCATTTCATGTTAATTCTCCCATAAACCCCCTGCCTGTGATTACGCCAACCCTTCAGATACATACATTTGTCACAGAGTACTTTTTCAACAACATCCGTTGGAACTGACAGCATGACATAACATGTGTCAGCAGCACTCACTGAATGGATGGCCTAAAGCAGCGGCTCTGTTCACAGGTCTGTTCTGATAAAGTCATGGACAGCTGAGGAAAGAAGAACAATGCTGTTTGTAAGCAATACAATGCAACTAATCATATAATTATGCATAGGATAGGATATTAAAGGATTTTAAAGTTTGCATGGGTTAATTATTGGCAATGGGATCAATATCATGCATTTAGAAAATATGTATAACAGAATGAAAAGTAAAATTTGATTTAATAGTGTGAAATATTCCTTTATTTTTTAGTATCACTGATATCCTTTTGTACTTTTGGTTAATATTTTTTTGTTCTATTTTCACTTTAATTTTAGCCAAAGCTTTAGTAAATGTGTGTTTTTGTAAATTTGTACTAATTAATTGTATTAACTTTTATTTTTAGTTTATTTAGTATTAGTACTTCAAGTTAAACTGAACAAAAATGAGAAATGTAGACTTGGCAACTAGCTGAAATAAAATAAGTTTAAGGGTTTTATATTTTATTTCATTTCAGTTAACGTTTATATAGTTTCAAGTAAAGAATATGGTTTTTATGGTTTTAGTTTTAGCTAATGATAATAACCCCGATGCCAACTTCAAACTTTAAAAATGGTAACGACTACATAGACATGTTTTATTTGGAATAACATGCACTAATGATTCATGCACAATAAGACTGAACATTCATTTGAAAAAGTAAATAGTGTCAAATATGTTTCATGTCACTTTAAAACTCTCTTATGTGTTAGTGCAGAATTTGTGGGCACTAAACATGCTCTTGTATTTCAGTCTGTGCCTAATGGTGGACATGGGGTCTACAGCTCTCTGGAGCAGGTTATTTACAAAGAGTAACTCTGTATGACTCTATTACTGTAGATTACTGTAGTGCCAGGCCCAGTACTGACCGGCGATATTGAGAAGTACAAACAGAGAGTCTCTCTCTTTCCCTGACAGCAGGAATGCTTCACAGAACAGTGCAACAGCATGCTAGTTTGGAATGGCTCCAGGTTTGCTCTCTATCCAGAGTCCAATGGCCAAAGGAAGATGAGGGGAGTTTTCAGGTCAGGAAACCTGCTTGAAAACAGTCATTATTTTTTGTAATTCCTAAAATTTGGTGTTGCAGGAATTACATAATTTAATCTTAAAGTAAGTAAATATGGTCAGTTTTGATTTCGGAGCAGTGTGGATGCACTGCAAAGCATGATATTCTTACTATTTTTGTCTTTTCTAGTAAAGAATATTTAAACATTGTTAAATCAAAATACATTTTCTTGAGAAGCAAAATGACTTAACATTTCAAGTCTTGTTTTCTGATAATTGTATCAAAATTATGAGTTTATGCCTAAAACACGAAAAACATCTACCAATTTGTAAAAATAAAAATAAACGTAATTCAGTGGGAAAACAAGATTCTTTTTCTTACACATTAGCTGATTTATTTATTTTTTTAAAGATAAAATTATTTTGATAAATATTACAAAAACGAGACTTAAAGGAATGGTTCACCCCAAAATGAAAATTTGCTGAAATTTACTTACCCTCAGGCCATCCAAGATGTCGATGAGTTTATTTCTTCATTGCAACAGATTTGGAGAAATGTAGCATTACATCACTTGCTCACCAACGGATCCTCTGCAGTGAATGGGTGCCGTCAGAATGAGAGTCTAAACAGCTGATAAAAACATCACAATAATCCACAAGACTCCAGTCCATGAATCAATGTGTCGTGAAGCGAAAAGCTACGTGTTTGCAAGAAGTCCATCAAGGCGCTTTAACTGTAAACTGTCTACATACCATAATAACATTTCATCCAGTGAAAAAAATCGATTTCCTGTTTTCCCCTCACATTAAAATCCACCAACATATTTGTTTAGAACGGTTTTGGACTTTTTTTGCTAGTAAACACTTCTTGACTTGTGCATATTTCTCTCCTGTTTCAGATGAGACTTTTTCACCGGAGAAAGCAATATTATGGATAGAGGACTCGTATTTTAGCCGGAAGCAACATATTTGCTTCACAATATATTAATTAATAGACTGAAGGTTTTTGGTTTGTGATTATTGTGATGTTTTTATCAGCTGTTTGGACTCTCATTCTGACGGCACCTATTCACTGCAGAGGATCCACTGGTGAGCAAGCAATGCAATGCAAACATTTTTCCAAATCTGTTTTGATTAAGAAACAAACTCATCCATATCTTGGCTGGCCTGAAGATGAGTACATTGTAAGCAAATGTTCAGTTTTGTGTGAACTATTCCTTCAATATCTTAAGTCATTTTGCTTCTCAAGTAAATGTATCTTGCTTTTAAATATGTCACTTCTGTGTAATTTATTTATTAAAATAAATACGTCACACCGAGTCGAATAAGATTAAACATCTTTAATTGAACCGAAAGTACAATGAAATATTCTTGTTTGTCTTGGAAGACAAAATGTCTATTTGTGAAATTGATGTCATTAGCAATGCACACAAACATCAGCTAGATGTAAACCGAGTTATAGGCTGATAATGGTCTCACGGTGGATTCTGAAGCATTATGTACAGTTTGTACAATAATAGCCGGTTCAATTGCATGACACTTGCAAATGCAACTTCTTCCTAGGAATGACATTTAAGATCAAGCATATCTACAAGAGAACAGAACTACGGAAATTATCATGTAAAAAGCTTTTTTCTTTTTTAAATGAACACCATTTAGAAAGCCCAACAGCTTGTTTTCGTCATCCACAATAATGTTACACACTCCTAGTCTCGGATCATCTCGACATCCCTGTGCTTCTGCCAAAGGATTCTCTCTCTCTCCCCACGCTGTTCATTGTTCTTCAGAAGAACGTTTAAACCTCCCGAGGGGGAAATTCAGTCTGTGATGAGAGCGTGTTTGTTGAATTTGTACGCAGAGAGCTCAATGGAGCACTGCGTCATGTCAAAGCACACTGGCATCTCCGTGACTCTCCATCTCATCGCCGCTAGAAAAATACTCCTCCCTCCCGTTCATTCCTTCTCACTTTGATGGACAAACGCTGTCCGACACTCACCACCCTTTCCCAACAAGTATACACAGCAATGTCAAACCAGCATTTTGTTTGTGCAAAGGCAACATTTGGTTTATGAGAATATAACGACAATAAAACAAAGCAACAACTAAAAAACAGTCTCAGCCAAAAATGAAAAACAAAACAAAAAAGTACAATAGTGCAATTCTTCTCTTCTCTTCTCTTCTCCTGCTTGGGCTTGTCCTTGTGGTTTTTCTAAGGACAGTTAGTGGCGGCTCCGTCTCGTGTTGCTCTTGCCTGAGTTTGCTCTTCTCTCCAGACGCAAAAGCTGGTCCCATTGCTGGCACACACAGAAAAACATTAGTCACTTCCCATTGCCCTCTGCATCAGGGGCCTCTTTCCATATGCTCGTTCAAAGGCTCTACAGTGTTAGATTTTATGTCAGCAGGTCAAAGCCATAAAACACAGAAATTAATGACACTTTATTCAATGGCAAGTTTGTAGAAGAAAAACATTTTCTTGCTAGATATTATGTCTGTCTGTCTATCATCTATCTATCTATCTATCTATCTATCTATCTATCTATCTATCTATCCATCTGTCCATCTGTCTATCCGTCTATCCATCTATCTATCAATATGTATTCTGACACTTAAAAATATAAGAATGTAA